CAAACACTCACACAGGGGCAAAAAAATATGTTCCAATTCAAAATGCTACTGCCCAGTGGGTGCAGTAGCTGACTCTCTAACACCTGATACAGTCTATTCAGCAGAATGGCTTTGAGGACAAGATGTGCTGTTTTGGGATAAACATTTATGGCCTTTCGTTATGCTGACCTCTGAACAACATCTTGTGTCCCTCACAGTACTTAGCAGCAGTAGCAGCGTTTACACAGACACGCAGGATTATCTAAGATAAGAAATTAAATGTAAGATAAATAAAGGTAAATATGCACTGGTGGAGGGCTGAAACAATGAATTTAAGTGCCAGTTTTTAATACTTAAATCGCTTTGTTTTATTTCAACTGCAGCCGTATGCTTAAGTGTGCAAATAATATGAAATAAACTATGGTAAAATTGGTAAACAGTTGCTTAAAAACTGATCCGTCAGTGTGTCAATGCCATTGTTTGCTGGCATTATAGGAGAGAACGATCATCCTACCAATTATACAGATGCTACTATCATAGACAATTCCTTATTCTCACATATATCACTCAGATGTATTTCAATATTGCACGAACGACACAGAAAGTAAATGCAAAGAGAGCTGTGTTTGTCTTTTAATATCCATTTGGGATGTGTAAGTTAAGAAAGATGAGATTTTCAAATGCACACAGTTTTATCCGTGCTTAGGGATGGATTAAAGTTCAGAGAGGTGGTGTTTTTGGAGCAAACAAGACGTGATTTTAATGAATAAATCCCTCATGTGCCGTTTGTTTGGTGCCGTCTGCGTCTCAGCGATCTTCCAGTGTAATCACACGACCTTTGGAACCTGATTGAGTCATCTGCTGACTCCAGCACTTGCCCTGTGTGAGATTACTCAACTCGTCACTTCCCTCGCACAGTTATCTTGGTGGCAGAGCTCGCAGCTGACAATCGCCAAGTAATGGTAACAAAAGGGGAAAACAGTTCCTGTCTGTGTCGAAGTGCTCTGTCTCTGACATTCTTTATCAAGACAATAACAGTTGGGGTCAACACTAGATAACTGTCTCGAGACACAATATCTGTCAGACAACAAGACAAGCTGAACTGGAGCTTCTATAACACATCTATCCTCATGAGGGTTCTATCCATCTATCCACATGATCATTCTAAGATAAAGCGCCTGATTCTACGACCACTGCACGGACTTGTTTCTCTGCTTTGACATGTTTGACGCAGCAGATGCGGCATCCGTCTGTTCCCTCCGTGAACTCGCGGCGCGTATCAAGACATTAGTTCGACGCACACGGGGATCACAGACATCGAAACCAGGGATTACACTTGATGAGAGCGATTTGCATCCCACCCTGAAAATAAATAACGTCGCCATCGGTCCAGACACGATGTACTCTGCAAGCCGGAGGAACACTCTGCTCCAAGAGGGTATCAAAATCTGCTGTCCCTCTCTGAATGAGCCGACTGTTTATACACTAATATTATGTGCAAATAAATCAGAGCTTCCCCTCCACCTCAGTGGAACCACTGCTGTAAGGACTGAACACAATAAGGTCAGTATATTCGCCAATGTACGTTAGGATATTGCCATTTTGAAGCTGTGCGAGGCAAAAAATGGTAAAAGTGGATATTTAACAGCATGCATGTGTAATCTGAAACCTTACTATTTATATTTGATGTAATAGAATTTAATTGTTCATGGATAGACCTGCAATAAATTTAAAAAAGGAGGCGTGACAGTAGAGGAAAGGTCTCTGAACAATAAGCAATAAGCTTGTGTGGGCTCACGAACAGAAAGATGTTGGCGAGAACACAGTCCTTTCATCTCCATGGAAATGAGCATGAATTTTTAAAATCACGTCTTTTGAGATTTGAGAGTTGATAAAGTGTTTTTTTTTTTTTTCTGGGTTTACCTAGAGGCAGGGATGAGATGATACAAAGGAAGATCCTGGGGGTGGTATTTCAGGATTATTAAAATGAAACAAAAAATAAAATAAAAAATCCCCTCTCTTTATCAGGCGTTTAGGAAAATTTATATTCATCCACAAAATGCACAATGAGGCCTTCGCTGTCTCCCAAAAGAATTAAAATGACTGGATTCGTCCAGACAACTGTAATCTGTTCCCAATACACAGCTCACAAGCCCAGTGTGTTAAGAATGAGGTCAGCGCTCGAGGACACAAGTTGTCCACCTATATCCAATTTGTGCACCCAAAGGAGTCCCAGAGCTGCTTTGATGAAGCTGAAAAGTAAATACCTGAGACTAATAAACCGCTGGACAACAACCAGTTTGACAGAGATATACTGTTTCGCTTTGAGTAAACAGGATCACAGTGATAGTGGTCAATGATCAGCAGAGGACAAAGTATGATATTGTAGATAAGGAGCAAAGTGTAACCAAAGCATCCAGACATTGTCTTCAAATATTTAAGGCCAGCGTGTTCAGTGTCCCTTATTGATTTGTCTACTAGACACAGCTTGCTGCTACAATTTCTACATCCTTTACTTTGATGCTGTTCCACAGTGAGCTCCCTCCATCATTCCCTGTCTTTCGCAACATGTTGAGCACCCGTATGTGTCGAGTTCACATAGCTAGTTTATCTGTCGTCGTCTGTTCGTCTACGTTTTCTTTTCCTCCTTTGATAAAGTCTCACTGGTATTGACTAAAACAACCAGCAGTACACTTTTAGATACCGCACTATATGTCTGAAGCACCACGTGTGGCGTTAACATTGTTTCCTAAGTGGCCACTCCACTCTGGCAGTGTTACATCTGGAGCTATTTGTGGCCTTCTGCAAGATGCAAACCTGCATGGATGACTATGCGAGTTCAGACATGTCTTGCTTCAGTCATCACACAGACACACGAGTCAGCCACAACATTAAAATCACTGACAGGTAAGTGAATAACGATAATAATCCTGCTACAATAGAAGAAACCTTGCATCCTGACATACACGTGGATGTCACTTTGACACATACCACACACCTAAACATCGTAGCAGAGCACCAACCTACCACAGCAACAAAACTCTCCAATGGCAGCGACTTTGCCTCACAGAACAATGCACCCCAAACCCATCCATCCATTATCTATACACCGCTTAATCCTCACTAGGGTCGTGGTAGGGGGTGAAGGCAGGGGACACCCTGGACAGGTAACCAATCTATCACAGGGTTACACTCAGAGACAGACAACCAAGCACACTCACATTCACATCTACGGACAATTTAGAATCACCAATTAACCTCAACATGTTTTTGGACTGTGTGGGAGGAAGCCGGAGAACCCGGAGAGAACCCACGCTGCACGGGGAGAACATGCCAACTCCACGCAGAAAGATCCCGGGTGTCCCCACCGGGACATGAACCAGCGACCTTCTTGCTGTGAGGCAACGGTGCTAACCACTGCTCCACCTTGGAGCCCGAACCCCAAACCACCTCAGGAATTGCGAGCTGAACATGACAAAGAGCCCAGGACATTGACCCTGGCCTCCAAATTCTCAAGATCTCATCCAGTCGGGATGTGTGGGATGAGGAAAATAAAACTGAGTAAAAGTGCTAGAACATCTTAACACAAAGTAGGCTCCAAAAAGGCATTTAAAAAAATGCTTCTTCAGCTGATATTCCTCCCATTGTTATGGCTTTCAGACAGTTTGAGAAACGAGGAATGAATCCAAGAGCACCAAGGAAAATGACGGATGGCTCGCTGCAAATGGTTCAACCCTGGTTAGACTACCCTGAAAAAACTTTCTCTCAGCCCACATACTGAATTGTTAACCGTGAGGCTTTGTCCATGCTACATAACCAAACAGTTTTCACAAGACATCTTGCTTGTTGTTTACATCCCTTCTTCCTGTCAAAGTGTTCGTAACATGAACCACTCAGCTACAGCGAGACCCCCGACTCTGAAGCCCACTGATATCTCATATTGTACTTCTCGTATTCTTGTTTGATTTTTAAAACTTCCATATAGTCGAGCAACTGTTCCAAAGAAATTTCCCTGCGGGTATTATTAAAGTTGTTCTGATTCTGACGTGAAGAGCTCGAGGACGGTGCTTCAGTTCTGCTCTCACTGCCACGGGAATACCTTCTTTGTATCTGGAGCTCGGCATAATGTAAAAAAAAAAATAGGGCAAACTCTGCTGTTTAGAAAAGTGTAGAACCACTTCATTTTTCTCTGTCTGGCATTTGTCGTGCTCATTCTACTGTAAAGTACAACAGCTACGAGGAAGCTGCTTTTGCACTAACCAGCGAAATCCAACACAATCCAAAGCAGCAGCAGCTCTGCCATACAGTCTATTAATAAGAATTTTCAGTTTATGTTGACGTTGAGGTGTCCTGCAGTGCATTGTAATTTAAAGTATCTCCAATGTTTTGCACCTCTCATGTATTTTAACAGGGTGGACAAAATATAAGAACAATTTTACATATAATGCAACTTTTTTTTGACAACGCCAACAAATGGTAAGAAGAGCGGTTCCTGTTTCAGAGGCTAGAGACCAAACCGGTACGAGAAAGGGAAAAGAAGTGATTACATGTGACAGTGAGCAACACGACTGCTAGTCCGGTGTGTCAGAACCCTTAGGTGAGTGCAACACCTCACGGAGGCAGCTTGTTATGCAGCCATTTTCATTTCAGCAGCGCTCAGGGTCGTGCCTGTACCGATGTGTGAAGGTCATGTAAAGTTTTTTTTCCACCAAAATAACGTCGACAGTAAGTGTGGGGTTTCAGTTGCGATCAGACACGGCTATATACTTTGTCAGTGTCATACTTCTGACAGTTTGCTGCTTATACGTGGAAATTCCCACAATTTTATAGCCAACAAAATTAAGCACGGGTGCGATAATTGCTGATTTTACTCATTATGATTTTTTTTTTCTTTTTGAATTCCAGTCAAAACTCCGGCCGCATACTCACCATTTTGCGGTACGAAGAAGACATTATACAAGACGTGGGCTGATAAATCAAGCTGCAAATATGACACGACAAGGATAAAGTGGTGCGCTTACCGCCACAGCTATCATGGAGTCGTCTGGTTTCCATTCTGCCTTCTGGTAGAAGCCAAACTGGGCCGCCGCCTTTGCAGACTCGATATAGCTGACTATCAAAACACTGGGCTGTGGGTGGGAAACAGGGACATGGGAGAGAAAATGAGCATTTGAAACAACATGCAGCTCGCAGACATCTGCCTGCCTCATCATGCAAAAATTCCCTTTAATTATGCAAAACCTAATGAAACACACTTAATATTTACAGTGGTGACTGACAGTGATAATTTATACATGTATATATTTGTCAGCTAGTGTGCTGGAGGGGGGGGGTTTGTTGCTAATGCTTTCATTGCCGAAAACATTGGTTCTTTGGCAAAGAAGGAATACAGATTTGATTTGAATTTCTCATCCAAAAATGGGACAAATATAAAACCCGACTGCTGCCAAACTCCCAACTCTTATCAAGCGAGGCTCATTTGCTGTGGAAAAATACATCTCAGCCATGCAAACAACAACATGTCCATGCTACTGTTTATACCATGAAACACATACAGACAACAGATGAATATGTGTACATAAACCGCCTTTGGCAAAGGCTGCTGCCCATTTTCTTGCCACTGCCCACTCTCATGTTTATCTGCAGCAAAATAAGGAGCAGTGAGTAACATATGTGTAACTTCAACCACTAAGTGTGAAAACAGCTGTTAAGACGGAGCGCTGATAAAGAAACCACAATCTCTATTTTAGAAACCGCAACACCTGGCAACGCCTCATTCTTGAGTTATTCGCCGTTGGGAAGCCCCCAGGAGAAAATTTATGGTTCATTCAAGTAATAAAGCTGTATAATGTTACATATTTCAAGGTTACCAGCACAGATCATTACTTCAATGTGAGTCAATACTGAGTCTTCCTGTAAATGTAACTAAAAGACTGCTGATTGATTTCATTTCTTGGCACGTAGCGGTGCCACTGAGTGTGGTAAACATGTTTTGTCATGTGTGGTGCTGCCATGATGGTGACCTCTTTTGATTCAGCTCCATTTTGCAGACACATTATTAGACTTACTGACTTTATTAATCCCAGAGGGAAATTCAGCAAAGCAAGTAAAATTCTGTTTTCACTGAGATATAACAGGACTTGACATCATCAAGAAAAAAAAAACAACAGAACAGGGTAATGTATGGCTTCGGTCAGGTAACTAAAGTAGGGAAATGTCTGCTGTAATTCCAGCTGCACTAGTCCTGATAGCTAGTCAGTGTAATGAGAGAACAGGCTGCAACAATTTCTGCCCTACAGTGTCACTTTCATAGAATTAAAAATTAATAATGCCAGTGACAGTCGCACTGGCTGGGAAGCAGAAACTGTTCTCCTCCCGAGGAGTTCCAAAACTCAAAGACTTGAAAAAAATGTATATATTAGTACTGAATTGACAGCTTGACAAAATGACAACTTAATGGAGCTACGTATGGTGCAGCATGTAAGTATTGTGATGGCAATTACATTTGCAATATATTTTTAAAAGCCTGCTTCAGTTCAATATTCCTTGTTTTAGATCAATTTACATTTTACATTGATGGACACATGAGACACCGACAAAAGCATGACTGTTACATGAGGAGGACAGCAGGAATTTGTGAAACTACTGCCACAAGGGTTTGGGTCAGAATCGCTGCACAGCATACATATATCAAAATGCAGACTTTGTCATTTGCTAGTTGCATTATTTTAAACTCCAATTTCAATTTGAAATAAATTAATTGCCCCACATGTAACCAGTTAAGTCCTTTAACTTTTTTTTTGGCAAACATGGAAGTCAAAAAAGGCAAACCAGCGCAATCTGTTTCAATTTATTTCCCCTTTAGGAACAAAACATCTGACCAGAACTCAGAGTGACATGCTTCACTGGATAACATATGCTGAAATTCATACACTTCATGTATTGTTTCTAAGAATTAAAGTTGGTTATACTCTACCTGCCTTTATTAACAGCGCTTTCATAATGGACTACAAGTAATTCATCCTGTTAAATGTATTTATGGATTACATATAAAAAATACAGCGTCTCTGCAGTGGCACAGATATATAACTGAACTGTTTACTCTTTGCTTCTTTGGCCCTCAATACCTACATTCCCTTCATTGTGTCTGTCTTTTCCTTCACAATGTTTTTTGTTCACATTTTTACAATTAACAACACAAAATTCAAAGCACTGTGTGTTGACAGTCATTAAGAATCTACTGCAACACAAATGCACCAAATGTGTAATTAAACAAACAGAGCAAAAGAAATAATCAGGTAAATACTAATTCTTTTTAATGCCAGGATTCTGTGAACTAATCTATCAAAGATTTGCTTGTTGCACATTTTTAGGATATTCTTCACAAGTGGGAAAAGTTGCTGCATCACCTAGCATCACCCAGCCCTGTAGGCAGTTAGGTGTACTTCTCCCTAACACAGACAGACTGGCCAAAAGAAAGACTGACTTTACAAGACTTTAGTTTGCATGACAACATCCCAAATAAACAACCGGTACACACAGCAAGTGAACTACAACTGCACTGCCATTTCCCGTGCACCACCACAATTCCACGCAGTCAGTAGGTGTAACTGAAGAAATCCCCGGGGAGCCTAAATGATTACACACACAATTACGTTCAATCATATGTGGGCATAACACACCACACTGATCATTTTCGCGAGCACCCAGAGCCGAGCATGGAGCTCTGCACATGCACACATAATATTATACAGTTATGGCGGTGTGGCAGAAGAGAATAACTTCAAGGCTAAGCTACTGTGCTGCACGGATTAGTAATAGCGCCTCGTCTGAACTAACTGGGCTGCACAAGGCTGAGACCGAGGAGAGATGGGATCAAAGAGACTGCACCTGGTGGCAAAGTGATGGCCGAGAGCAACAGGGGCAGAGAAAAAAAATGGCAGATTTACAATCACCTTGAACTCACCAAATAACCTGAGCAACATGTAGTGTCTGTGATAAGAAACATGAAGCAGGAAATAAGAAACCAGATGTGGATAGTATCGAGTGTTGACACAATGAGTCATGTTATGAACCATGACAGACAGAAAGACAATCTTAGAATACATTTTGACATATTAAAAAAATATTTTGTGTGAAGAGATTTTAGCTGGAATCAGTAGAGGACAAAACACAGCTGTTATATAACGATATTGCCATAATCCATTAACCACAGCATCACCCTGTTTGCACTTTTTTTTTTTACAATGCACCTTGGGTGATCATATGAAAAAGTGGAGAGCATGAAATTAGTAAAAGATAACCTCGTGATCCGATCCCTGCGAGCACTTGCCAGGGTGGTTTGGGACACATTTGACCACATGTAAGCGCTAATATGTGCATAGGCTTCCCTTAAGATAAAAACACGTCACCAGTGCAGGACATTGTGGTTGTCCAGCGCTCTTTTGCAAGTCACAAATAACTCTGACCTGCCAGTCTAAACATTTGAAACAGATGGTATATTAGTTCTCGAAACATCTTTGCAGAAAGAAATCTGGTGCTTATCTGGCATCAGACTGACAACAATGTGTAATCTGAACACGGATGGACGAGGCGAGTTTGACATAGCCAGCCTTTCTTTGTGTAAGCCGGCTGGACAAAACCTAAAACCCTCGTCAGAGATAAGAGGTATCACAATGGTGGTTATGAACTTTCTTTGTTAACTCAGGCTTTCTTCGTCAAGACTCTTCTTCAGGCGTTCACATAGAAGGGGGCTTAAACGCATCACGTTACTCCTCTTCCACACAAAACGGGCCAATCATGTGCTGCCTACTTCAGGCGACAGGTTGTTACAATGGCGAGCTATAAGGAACATAAAAATCCATGAAAAAGTGCTGCTACTGCTTCAGGAGAGGGATGCTGGCAGAAAACAGTTAATTTGGTGTTAATAAATTCATTTTACCGCTCAGTGCAGAGGCCTATTATTAACATGACAGCTGCACATTAGAGCCGCTAAACTTCATATATTTAAACATAATACTCCATTTAAATGCATTTAGGTCTGACACTGTGCCATAATAATGGAAAGCACTCTCTGATCTATAGGCTGCGGTACCAGCAGTGTTAAACAGTCTTGACAGTAAATCAGGACCAAATATAAAAACATATTGATGTGATTTCTGCATCACCATCTGGTACATGTCAGGTTCTATGGCTGCGCTTTGCATATGGTGTACAATGCTATACATGCAAAGCTTCATGCAGGAGTATTAGTGGCGTGCAGCTCAACTGGTTTACAGATATAACATATTCTCACAGCTGAGCAACAACGTGGTTTAAGGGAGACGCTTCTTCCTGCCGATTTAAATCCAAAACTCTGAACATAACCTGTAGCAGGTTAGCTCTGTCACATCAGTTACTATCGTGGCCTAGCAGGTTTAAAAACAGCCACTTTCATAACACTGAAAACTCTGTCTTTAGGCTCAGCATACCTCATAACCTCACTAGTCTGGCTTCACAGTACAGCCCTCAGGTCTGGAAACAGGTGTGAATGGCTCATATCTATCACCATCACTCAGTGTAAACAGGGTTTCTGTTAAATTTAAAATCACAATGCTGATGTTACCTTCAGTTTACCCTGTCTTTGCTTTCATAAATGTATTTAATAAAAAGTAGTGTAAACAAAACCCTCCACATCATCTCTGTGAGTAGAGCTGGTCTGCATAGTGAAGCGGAAAGACATAATGGACTCAACAGATGTGAAAGGTGCATGTCAAGAGGAAAAAGTTGCTCCTATCACCACTCCTGAGACATTCCTTTTCCTGGATGCCCCACTGATACTTGTAGGCAGGCAAGGTTCTTAAGAAAGAGGGGAAGCAAAACATGCTAACATCCTGTGTGGGCCTCAGGAAATTAACAGTGACCCTGATCCATTGTTGCTACAACTCAATAATATACAAGCTGTGTGGAACTCAGACTGCTGTAAACAATGTGCTCAACTGCAGGTTATCAAATCAAATGGCCTACGCTCTACGTCACCACAGCGAAATCTCTAAACAAATGGGGGCTGGAGTACAGAAATTCACAGCGCTCGAAGCACAGTTCTGCATTCTGAAGGATCCTTCTGCTGCACGATGCTGGTGCAGACACTGGAAGAAGTGGTGCTGATGGAGAATCAACGAACACTTCAAGAGCCATCCTGCATTTACACGGTACTTAAAGTTGAACTACAGTTTAACCAGATGTAAGGGCTCCCTGGAAACAAATGGCAGGACAAAAGCAGAATTTCATTTGTGGTGATAGTCGCCAACTCACACATTAAATAAATGTGGACACCAGTTATACTCTAATACTGACTAGAGCATGTCAAAACGTACATGTCATCGTCTGTACTGACGTGTTCACCAATACTTTCACTCTTCAAGCTTGCATCACCTTCTTTATGCTTCCTTTTATTACTAAAAAACATGTTCCTACAACTTCTCCCATCATACACCTGACTTTCCCATGTTATTTTTATGATTTGCATTTCTCAAGTTAAAAAAAAAAACAGCCAATAAAGCATCCATCTTTCTGACTAACTCCTAACCTGCAGCGCTGCCATTTATTCCTGTATTTTTCCTTGGAAGTCAGAGCTTAAATGTCACATAATCAGTTACACAGTGATTCTGGTCAGCTCATTTTATGACATTACCCTGCACCTAACATCACTGTTCCCTTATAGATGGGCAGTAGCCAAAACTGAATCAGTTAAACCAGCTATTTTGGATGTGCTTAAAAAGAGATCAAGGTTTAATGAAAGTGCCAGTTTCAGCACAGAACCCATACCTTTGAGAAAACGTAACATCCTTGTATGTAAAAAAGACCAGATTAAAAACATCCTCTTGTGGGAATAGACGGTGATAATACCCAGAAGAGTGGCCTTCATCGAAAGAGCAGCCACTTAGAGAAGCGCAACCCTGTTTCTGAGTCACTATGAATTTTGCCTGCTGTGTTACGCATTTGTGGATGAGAAATGAAAAGGAAAGAGATCAATTACTGCGCTGACATGATGGCATTTATCATTAACTCTGGCAGCCTGGAAGATCCTGAGTTAATGTTGAGCTCCTGCCTGACAGAACATACCACAACATGCAGTCGGGGAGTATTTGTTTTGAACACAGTTGCTGATAATAACTTAAATTTTGATCATGAGCATGTGCGGCAGAGCACACAGTCAGAAACACTCAACAAAAGTGCACACACATGTGGGAAAATCTAAAGAAAGAAAAAACAATGGTGGGGAAGTGGAGACTGCCATTAGTCTGACCTAGAGCATTCATCAGGTGAGTTTGTGTGGCAGGGGGATTAAAAAGCCATCAGATCTTTGCTATCAATCAAAAAATGAATGAGAGGAAGGACGCACATTAAAAAAAAACAAAAAAAAAAAACATTCAAGCACCACGTAAACTGCATTGCTGCGCCTATGAGATTACGGATATCCTCAAAGGTGCGTCACCTGTCACCTATGTGCCAACACATCAAGTCAAATACCTTTCGATTGCTTTTAATGGTGGATCAGTTTTAACAGGGCGCTAATCGCAGCTAAAAAAAAAAAAAACGAAAGTAGCGCTGCATTGTTTTGGTCGGGACAGCTGAGTTCACGACCGAGCTGGTTCCCCTAACTTACCCGACTGAACCAGATGCTGAGCTGAGTCTCCGACAGCAGGGCGAAGTAAAACCTCTGGGAGCTGGGCTGGATGTGGAAGGGCTCCTCTTCACTCCTCAGCGGACAAAGCAGCCTCCGTGGCCAGCCGGTTAGAAAATACATGACGGCGAACTCACTCCGCCTCGACACTCCAAACAGTGCCGCAATGCCAGATCGTCGGTGCCCCCTATTCCTCCTTAAGTAGTATTTTCTAATCCAGGTGATTCATTTGCGGCCGTTTCCGTGAAAACAAAAACTTTGAATGTGTCTACACAGCCCAGTGTTAGCACTGGACACGGTATCGATCCACGGATGCCATACGGAAAGACCCAAGCAGCCGATGGAGCTACACAGCTAGCCCCGGGCTAGCATTGGCTTTCCAACTTGAAGCTAATGAGCAGTCCGAGGCAACAACAGGGGGAACCGAAAACAAAAGCGACCAGAGCCGCCGCGTCGCCGTACAACACCGAGCGGCGTGTCGCGACCGAGAAATGGGTCGATTAACTTTCGCTCCCGGTGCCGTATCAGTTCTTACGGTGCCTGGACCAGCGGTGTTTAATAACGGCAAAGCGTCCAGTTTTCACTCCTCTGTGCCTCACCGTCGCCATCTTTACAAGACTCTGTCTGACTCAACGCTGATTGGACGCGACGGGCAAGTTTGCGTCGTGTTGACATCTGACGTCACCTCTCCGTTATGTGAGACCACAGCGGCGACGAAGGCAGCGTGGGCCGACGCTGACACCCGCTGGTGGAAGAGTAAAACGTCTTTACACGCCAATAATACGAAGATCTAAAGGAAACAGGACTGTTTTGGTTGCTTGGAGACTTTGCACCTCTAATCCAAGAGGCTCCTTTACTTCTAAATGACTGATGGGGAGACCCAGATATAGGGTAGGCCGACCCCCATCACATTTCCCCTCCTGATCATTAAATACAGTCAAATTTTTTTTAAAATTACAGGTCTGGTCTTGATAGTAAGGGCATTTTATGAGACATTTCACAAATCTGCCATCTAAATTGTTACCTAATAATTTCTTCACCAATATGTTTGTAAAGGTGTAATAACATGTTTAAAAATGTTAAAATTCAACTCCAGTGGGAAACCCTGAAAAAACCTGCTCAAGTTAGGGTACCGATAAATTATTGTAGAAATTTTTTTTTTTTTTTAAAGATCTGGCCTTAAGTAGCTTATGAGGGGTTAAATCAGGGTTTTTTCATGATTCTGAGTTGATTGTTAGCATTTATTTTTCACCACAAACACAACAAAGGGCCACACTCACGTTTACATTTACATTCACAGTAGTTTATATTTCACATACTTATACAACACAGTTTCTGCATGTAATGCCTTTACAGATTCCACAGGCCGAGATGCACGTGACCCCATTCTTCTTGCAGCTGCACCGCTGGTTGCTGCAATCTCCATGACAGTTACAGCTGGTGAACTTCAGTAGCTCCTCAGGAGCCATGGGGTCTAGTGTTGGAACTGGCTCATACCCATGCACACTGAACGTCCATCCATAGTCACTGGGGTTCAGAAACATGCTCTGTAGAAGGATCCAGTCCCATGTCTGCGGCTAGGCATGCAGTGAATGCTGTGCAGCTACACCCTCTGTTAGAGGTAGAGTCTCTGGTTTGATCACTCCTGCCGCCGCCTTCCTTGAGAACATGTTGTACCAAATTTCACCCATTGTAGTATCTGGTCCATGACAAATGTACTGGAAAACAGCAGTACCAGCCTGAATCACTGCCTCCTCGGTGGCTACTGTGCCAAAGAAGATGTCCATGTACTCGTCCACATCCCCTGCACAAAACCTGAAAAAATGCACCAGGTTTGTGTCAAGTATAATCCATCCATCCATTATCTATACACCGCTTAATCCTCACTTGGGTCGTGGGGGGCTGGAGTCTATCCCAGCTGATTTAGGGCGAAGGCAGGGGACACCCAAGACAGGTCGCCAGTCTATCGCAGGGCTACACTTAGAGACAGACAACCAAGTGTCAAATATAATGTGAAACAGAAATACAATAATTATTTTTATAAATATTTTTACTATGATGACAATAATGCTGCTGCTGCTGCTGCTGATTTATTTATTTATTTATTTTTGTCAAAGTAATAGCAGTGTTTCTGCAATTGCTGGCCATGCAATTAGGGAGAAAGATAAAGGGACTATGATTAAAGCACCCTGCAGGTTTGGGTGACTCTTTATGAAAAATAAATGTTAGTTTAATGGGAACTGGTATTTCTAATTTTTAAAAAAAATAAAATAAAGGGATTTCCCCGCAATTTAGATGTTTTTGTTGTGTTGTTTTGAGTTTTAAGTTTTGTGAGTGAAGAAGTTAGAAACCAGAATCTGTAGTTCCCCTCCAGAGCAGGAGGTGGCGGTAATGCGCTCTTGGTGCCTGTAGAGGAATTACGGAAGAAGAAGAAGACGAAAAACACGAAGAAGAAATTTGTTTCCTAGCATGGTTCATTAACGGCACAGCTTTTATTTTCCATACCCTACATGTTTCTGGACTGTGTTGGCGATTTTTAAACTACTTATCTTTGTTGTCAGTGAGACAGTCAGACTTGTGTTTTTGTAGGTGGCGGTAAAACTTCTAGCTAAAGTTGTGCGCCAGAAACGGAAAAAGGAGAAGAAGAAGAAGAAGAAAAGCAGAGCAGCATGGCTGTAGACATGAGACTACCGACTATTAGAAAAACAGTGTCGTTATCAGTTGATGCTTTTGACCGAAAAGACCTGGTCGTCCCCGGCGATGTTATCACTTCAGACACTGGTTTCATGAGGTAAGTACTGGTTTTATTATGGAACAGAGTCAAATTAAACATACTGCTGATGTGTGGCAGGTGTCTGGCTTCACTGGTTAAACAGTGAAGAAAGCCACACTGAAACCAACTAAAGTCAAGTGAACTGACATCATCATACAAGGAGGGCACCAGCTTGACCTGCTAATAATAGTATAGTTTAATATTGACTTACCTGGAGACCAGTTGGTGAGAGGTGCAGAACAATAACTCAGCATATTAGGAATGTGAATCCTCCACTTTGAGGCTGATGGACAATATCTGATGTAAGTTTAACTGTAATAGGAACTCAAAACAGGAACAAAATCATAATTTAATCTTTGAAAATAGCGACAATGTTGTCTGCAACCTCTGGATGTCACAGTCAACACATCTCTTAACCAAATGCCATATTACTGTCATGATCAGTGCTATGTACCACTTATCCTCAGGGGTCATGGCACCTACGTGGATGAAGACAATCTGACAGCTTCAGTCGCCGGAGAGGTGCAGAGGGTCGACAAACTCATCTGTGTCAGACCGCTCAAGACCAGGTGAGTGGCTGAACTGAAGCTCTTCAATCTTACACTCAGAGAATAATAATTTGATCGACTTGTGCACGGCTGAAAGGTGGATCGGTGGTTAGCATCGTTGCCTCACAGCAAGAAGGTCGCTGGTTCGCATCCCAGTGAGGACACCCGGGATCTTTCTGTGTGGAGTTTGCATGTTCTCCCCGTGCAGCGCGGGTTCTCTCCGGGTTCTCGGGCTTCCTCCTACAGTCCAAAAACATGTTGAGGTTAATTGGTGATTCTAAATTGTCCGTAGGTGTGAATGTGAGTGTGCTTGGTTGTCTGTCTCTAAGTGCAGCCCTGTGATAGACTGGTGACCTGTCCAGGGTGTCTCCCGCCTTCTCCCTGAGTCAGCTGGGATAGACTCCAGCCCCCCACGACCCTAGTGAGGATTAAGAAGTGTATAGATAATGGATGACTTGTGCACTGATTTTACTTGGTTTGTGTACTGCTGCTTTACAGAGGCTATGCAATTCTCATTTTGCTGTATATTATTTATTTGCAGATTTAACGGCGAGGTTGGAGATGTTGTGGTTGGAAGAATTACAGAGGTAAGACCCTGCCTCTTCTCAAATGTGATCTCTGCCATTTTTATTAAAATATATGATCATCGAGACGGTGATTTTTGTGATTATTTGCAGGTTCAGCAGAAACGGTGGAAGGTGGAGACCAACTCTCGGCTGGACTCCGTCCTCTTGTTGTCTTCTGTCAATCTGCCAGGAGGAGAGCTGGTGAGACGATAGATTCACTGGGCGAAGTTTTTGTATTACAGTGTTGACTGAACTAGCAAAAAGCTGTATTTGATTGTGTCTTTTTAGAGGAGAAGATCAGCAGAAGACGAGCTGACCATGAGAGAATACCTTCAGGAGGGAGATCTCATCAGTGTAATTAAGAGCTTATTATGATCTTTCATTGGCTGCTCCACCTTCTTATTCCCACTTTATAATGTCTGTGTTTTATTTCTCCTGTGGTTGCAGGCTGAGGTGCAGTCTGTCTTCTCAGATGGAGCCCTGTCACTTCACACCCGTAGTTTAAAGTACGGAAAAGTAAGTAATGCCAATGTAAACAATAAGATGCATAATGCAGCTGTGATGATATACCTAATGGTTCAGTTTCCTCAAGGAATCACTGGTTGTGGTGCATTTAGAGCAGTTAAATGCCAGCATACATGCACAACATGCTTCTGAGTGGTAAAACATGCCTTAGTCTTAATCTGTGAAGCTTTAAATACTGGCTCTTTGTATAATGACATAAATGAGACTAAAACAGTGTTATTAATGAGTCCTATATATTATACCACAGACATAAAGAATAGCAGTGATTTTGCTCTTTTTATGTGTACCATTCAACTGTAACACTTTTTTTTTTAAGTGTAGTTCTTGTTCTTTCATGCCAGACTTCATTTATTCTAATATCCTGTTTCTGCTTTCCCTGACAATCAGTTGGGTCAAGGTGTGCTCGTACAGCTTTCCCCCTCTCTGATCAAGAGGCAGAAAACACATTTCCACAACCTGCCCTGTGGTGCGTCCATTATCCTCGGGAATAACGGCTTTGTGTGGTTGTATCCCACGCCAGGACAGCAGGAGGAGGAAGCTGGGGGCTTCTACACCAGTCTGGAGGTATGAACAGAGCTCACGAAGAGTAGTATCTCATAGTCTGACTAGTCAATGTATGGATCGATACCAGTGTAAATTTAAATGAAGAGGTTAACAGTAGTACAGTTAGTAGAAGGGAGTAGAAATATAAAAAGTTTTGAAATCCACAATTTGTTTGACAAAGACACACAGCATACCTAGTCAAGAATGCTCCCCAGAGGGTGGCTGTGGCTCAGGTGGTAGAGCCGGTTGTCCTCCAATCGCAAGGCTGGTGCTTCGATCCCCTCCACAGTCCAAGTGTCCTTGGGCAAGACACTGAACCCAAAGTTGCTCCCATTGGAATGTATGAATGTGTGTGAATGGGTGAATGAGAAACACTTGTAAAGCGCTTTGGATAAAAGCGCTATATAAGTGCAGACCATTTAATAGGTGCACATGTTCTCTTGTCAATGATCAGGAGGAGATTTAATTATGGGAACCTCAGAGATTCAGCACGATGCAAATCCATCCATCCATTATCTATACACCAACAAAACAGAAATGTCTTGTTGGGGGTTTGCAAAAACACACAAAAAGTCCCATAAACTGATTAAATAAAAAGAAATCTGCATCAAAATGTTGGAAAGAGCCTTGAATATGAGTGGCTGTCAGTGGATTGTCACTGTCATTTATTATTGATTTTCCCAGAAGCAAGAGGCTGAGTACAGAGATGCACAGGACCATCCTGTCCACTCAAATTTAGCTAAATGTACCAAAACTCATTGGACAGCATAACTCAATTTGGCAGAGCCATGGCTGCCAAGGTGAAATATTGTTGGCTGACTGAATCAATCACCTGAGCTCAGTTTGATTGAGCTGTTTTCCACTCATGGTAAACCAGATTAGCAGCAGAAGAACACTGGAGCTGAAGTTGGCTGCAGTATGGGTCAGGGACAGCGTCTCCAGAGACGATACAAAGCATCTGCAAAGCATTTCCATCCAGTTATGAACCTATCGCTGCTGTGTCTCCTACTCAGTGCTTTCTTGTTAATGTAAACCCACTTGATCAAAGCTGAAATATTAGTTTCAATTCATTCTTTTATTTCAGACTAAATGTGCTGAAGAATAAAACATTTGACTGTGCAGATACTTGTGGTCTCTTCTGTCCACACTGAACGTATTTGTTTGTGCGTCTCTTCTCTCTGTACTTTCAGCCTGTTAGCCTGTCAGATCGAGAGGTGATTTCACGGTTGAGAAACTGCCTGCTGGCTCTGTCTGCACACAAGGTCCTCCTGTATGACACTAGTGTTCTCTATTGCTACGAATCTTCACTTCAGCACCAGGTAGGAAACACTTGGGTAGAGGATGATGATCACCTTTAGTAATATTCAGTTACTTTTGAATTCTATCCACATTTAGAGATGTAAACAGATGGCAATGATAAGATTTAGCAATGTAGAAGTGGACTTTTCTATGATTTATTGTGCCATCTAGTGGCCATATTGGAAATCCACAGCTCCTGGGCAACACTAGTGGAAAACAATTGATTGCAGTTCTCAACTTTGACTCTACTGTTGTAAATGTTCATGTGAATCATTCTGCAGGGGTGGGGGGAAGTTTTATTTTTGCACATTTTCATATGCAGGTATTGCTTTTGTAAAAAAAAACTGTGTTCAGAAAATCTTTAATGCATTACATGTTTTTTTTTAGAACAACAATTCTGTAATTCTGTGCCTTATACTGTTTCTGTAGGTCAAGGACATCTTGAAACCAGAGGTGATGGAGGAGATTGTAATGTTGACGCAACAGAAGCTGTTGGAACAGGAAGGTTGAAGAGCTCAAAGCCTCGTCACAAAAACCAAAATCCCATCAAGCAGCTGTGTGACCTGACTGCTGCCCATTTATATGAACAAAGAATTGCCTTTTTTCTTAGATATGTCAAAGTCAGGTGCGAGTTAAAATGTTTTGTTTTGTTAAACGAAACTAAAGTTCATTGTTTGAATGGAAAGGATGTGTAACTTCTGAAACATTCAAAAATCACTGGAACAGCTGTATGACAAAGGCCTGGTGGATCAGTTTTGATAATGTGTGCTGTTATACAAATAAGTATTGTATGCAATAAATTTTCTGTAATTTCTATAAATTGTTTCTGCTTCTCTGTGTAGTCTATAGTAGAACTGAAAAATAGGGAAAGAAGGTGATACTGCATTTATTTTTAAGATACTGTGTTTGTGTTGTGCATCACCATTGTAGTGTGAAGAGTCATTTTTGACTTTATGTGTTGTTTGTCCAATTTCTGTCTGCTGTTCTTGTATAGCTGTCCTTTAACCTAACCCCACTGGTCAGGGCAGGTAAATGCCCTCCCAGAGGCTGATTCTGCTGGAAGCTTTTTCCTGTTAAAGGGGAGTTTTTCTGTACAATGTTGGCAAAGAGCAGCTCAAAGTTAATACTGGAATTTGTACGGGTTTTCTACATAATGTCATTTTGTGTTTACCAGGCTATAGGATGTGCCTCCAGATTGCATTTTGTAGAGGATAGGTAGGATATAAATAAATAAAACTCAATTGAGCTGAATTTTCTACCAAGTAAAACATACCATCATGTTCCTTTATGTGTGGAGAATATGTTTTCCATGCCAGGGCATTTCTGTAGCACCACAGTGCTTCATTTACAATGGCATGTTGTGTCAATTTTACCTTTATCACAAAAAGTTGCAGCTCCTGCAAGAGCAAGCTTCTCATTTCAGTAATAACGGTGATACAGATGCATAATAAGCCATGCAGATTTAGTAAAACAACAACAGAAACAACTTTCCGAAAATACACTTCTGTTAAAAATTACTCTCCTAAATTGGTTTTTCATTGGTATTAGAATATAATTCAGGGGAAAAAACATGAATGGGGTTTTATATCCTCATGACTACATACTGTGTCCATCCAACTTTTCCTTTTGGCGGTTTATGGCTTTGAGTTCATCAGAATGAAAAATACTTTATTTATCCCAGAAGGGAAATTCAAGAATGCCTGAATGAATAAATTTCCACCACAGAAAAAAAAGCCCCAATCTGAATGATAAAGAAACAGAAAGTAAACATATCCAGAAACTCTCATCTTAATGAG